GACAGGATGTTCGCTGCCTGGCGGGGCCTCCCCTGGACTCTAGGGCTAGGGCCCTGGGTACCCTCTACCGCGAGAGGGTCCTCAGCAAGATGATGCATACAGCCCAGCTGATGTCGTGGCCTAGAGGCGCGGAGAACGAGCGCGAGCGGTGCCTCCTCGCTTCGCTTTTCAGGACCCCGGCCTCGTGACTCAGCCGAGCTGCCTGGGCCAACAGGGGCAAGCAGGGAGGGCCCGAGATCGTCCTGCTGGAGTTCACGACTCGCGCTGCCATGGCACGCACGGCGTCAAAGACGTCCTCTTCCTGGCGCCGCTGGGCGCCACAGCTGCTCGGCGGCATCACGGACTGCTTGGCACTCTGAGTGGGACGCTGCCCGGGATGAGTGGCGCGGAGCGCCTGCGTGGTGGCGTGGGCCGTCCGTGTCCCTTCTCCACGCTTCGGCTGCTGCTGCAGCTTCCCGGCTGGGAAAGGCCAGAGAGCTCCCTCGCCTCCAGGCCTCACTCACCTCCTCCCTCTCCTCCTCCCTCTCCTTCTTGTGGGGCCCATTCATCGTCTCTCGGGTGCGCAAATGGAGCCCCATCACCTCGACTGTCTTTCCACTTTCTCCTGTGGCCGCTCTCGAGCCGCGGGCCAGAATCAAGCCCAGTCCAAGGCCGCGCGCACTCGACTCCTGGGACCGCACTTTAAAAACTGCTCAAGCGTGCGCCTCCGTCGTGGCGCGCTGCAGCCATGCGGACCTGGACGGGGAGGTGGGTGGCCAGCACCCGTGTGTGCCTCCATGGAGGGGGCTGTGTTTTTGGATGTACAGGCGCATGGATGTCGTGACTCTTGAAGAACTATTTTGCGGGGTGTCAGCCGTGCCATTTGGCTCTCAATCGAGCTCTCGGCCGTCCTCTTTCGAAGGACCCGTTGATTCGCCTAGCCATTACCGGGAAAACCGTGGAGTCGCTTAGGGAAGTAGTAGTTTTGTATAACTTCCATTGCCTAGCCCGCGTGGCGCCCAGAAAGGCAAAGACCTCAGACGCATTGCCGTTGCAATTGAGTTTGCGCGCGGCGCTCGACTAAGCTCTGAGCTCATTTTGCGGCTGCCAGATGGCAGGTTCGCGCCACCTCGACGTGGCGACGACGCCTGCGCGGGCGTTCAGGGTTGAACACTCTTCCGTGTTGGGCCCTAGGATCTGCAGGTTCCAACCCACGGCGCGAAATCTCTACGAAAACGTTTGCCTGCGAGGATGTGTAGTTGCGGTTTCTGGGGCAGAGGAGGGAGGAGGCGGAGGAGGAGGAGGAGGAGGAGGAGGAGGATGAGGAGGAGGAGGAGGAGCAGAAGGAAGAGGAGGTAAAGGAACGTGGCAGCGCCTGAAGACACAATGGTTGGCAGGTCCCAGGTCCCAGGAACAGGAGGAGGAGGAGGAGGAGGAGGAGGAGGAGGAGGAGGAGGAGGAGGAGGAGGAAGAGGATGAGGATGAAGAGGAGGAGGAGGGGAAGCGGGAGGAGGATGAGCAGGGGGAGGAGAGGAGGAGGAGGAGGAGGAGGAGGAGGAGGAGGAGGAGGAGGAGGAGGAGACGGAGGAGCACTGGTGCATTTTTTCAATTGTTTGTTTTTATTTTTTTATTTTTTATCTGGGCCTCCCCAAAGGGGTGTCGCCGCAAAAGGTGGATTCCCCTCGAGACCCTGCGGCAGGCAACATCTATTGAGATTAGGTTGCAAATCCTGGGAGGTCAAATTCAGAACCGGCGCTAGCATGTTTTCGGTCTCATCCAGCCGAGTCCATCCTAGTTCGGTTTGATGTGGCCAAGTCCGTCTTATGCTGGTAATCGTCCTGGACAAATCCAGCTTCTCAGCCCCCGAATCGGGCTGAGTTGTCTGTAGTCTTTCCCACGAAGACCTCTCAGGATTGACCTTCTAACTGGGAGGCGGAGGAGGCGAGATTGTGGAGGGCGAGGAGACGTGAGGAAGAGGAGGAGTCGAGGAGGAGAAGGAGGAGGACTGGAGTAAACCGAAGATGCATCAACCGATGCTGCACTACTTCCTTTCCACTGCGGGCGCCCTACCTTGAATGACGAGCGAATGGTCGGTCCGCTTTTCAGACGAGGGCGCCTGTTGTTAAGGATCCCCCTCCACTTGGAGGACACCCAGGGTGTTGAGAAGAGCATGCCCTCCATCCCTCTAAGCTTTGCAGGATGTCGAAGACGTGGACGCATGCTCCGCGGACGTCCCACGCGAGTCCTTCAAGGATGCCCAGGGATAGTCTCAGTCTAAAATGAACAGGCGCTGCATCCGTTCAAGCGTTGCAGGATTTTAATGTCGTGGACGTATGCTTCGCGGAAGTCTCACGCGAGAGCCCCGTTTCGAAACAGGAGTTGCCCTCCATCCGTGTTAGCTGTTGTGCAATATGTAACGCCGGGTCGTAGAGGCCGAGGAAGGGTCAAGTGAGTGTAGATGTTGGACTTTGTATTCGAATGTGCGCGAGGCCATGGGGAGACCCCAGTACAGTGGGGTCGTTCGTTAAGGCATATGCCCAGGAAGCTGCATGCCCTGGATGATTCCTCATCTGATGAGGGCGGTGGTGATGTCCATGGCCGATCCACGATTGGAGTTCCACTGGCTTCCAGACCCTGGACTCTTTATCTAAAGGTTCCTTGTCCAATGCCCGCGCCGTCTTGAAAAGGACTCGCCATCCACTCGCGCAGCTCAGGACAAGTTGGACGCCGAGTCTGCACGGCGCAAGGGCGAGAGCCCCTTTTTCCCAGAAAGGGCGTCGGCCCAGGGTTCGTTTTTAGGATGGTAAACTTGTCCCCGGTGCCTTTACTGAAGGAAGCTGGCGGATGGCGGGAAGCGCGCTCGACTCGAAGTGTCGCGCGATGGACGTATGTCGCCCAGAGGGATATTTGATTAATTGGGGGTCCAGGTGGGGAAATGGTTCGCGATTGCCGAAACGTGCGTTGCCGGCGGATGACGGGAAGCGTGCTTAGATTCAAAGAGTCGCGCGATGGACGTATGTCGCCCAGATGGATATATTTGTCAAGTGGGGGGGTCTCAAGGGGAAATGTTTCGTTATTGCTCGTTTGTTCTGAGCGTGTCGGATGACGGGAAGCGCGCTTGGACTCGAAGAGTCGCGAGATGGACGTACGTCGCCCAGAGGGATATATTTATCAACTGGGGGGTCCGGGGGGAAATGGTGTGCCGCTGGAAGAGAATTCGATGCTTGCGGATGAAGGGAAGGGCGCTCACACTCGCGGAGTCGCGTGATGAACGTATGTCGCCCAGATGGATATACTTATCAAGGGGGAATCACGGGGGGGAATGGGTCACCATCGCTCGTTTGCTCTGGGCGTGTCAGAATGACGGGAATCGGGCATAGACTCGAAGAGTCGCGCGATGTACGAGTGTTGCCCAGAGGGATCTATTCGTCAACTGCGGGGGTCCAGCGGGGGAATGGTGACGGGTTCGCTCTTTCATTCTGGGCGTGGCGTGGAGCATAGGCGTTTCGCTTGAGACATCCTCGCCAAATCGCGATCTTGGAGGCTCTATCTTAAGACGTCTTATGTCTTATGCTAAAATGAACGTTTCGCCTGAGGCATCCTCGGGGAATGGGGATGGTGAATATCGCTGGCCTGATCGTCGGAACTTCAGACAAGGCCGTTTGGCCTGAGACATCCTCGAACAAACGGGATACGCCAAGAGCTGTTTTGAGACATCTTTTCGGAGCGCTCTTGAATGATATCCACGATGGCAAAATAAGCGACTTTATCGAACAACTCTAGGTTTTTATCACAAGTTTGTTCAGACGTAAGCAATTCGCTCGAGACATCCCCGTACACATGCCTTCGGACGGCTCCCCGAAACCGTCAGATCATGATGGGGATGCCGGTGATGACGATGATGACGGCGATGATGCTGATGTTGATGCTGCTGTTGATGATGATGGTGGTGATGATGACGACGATACTGCTGATGCTGATGCTGACGATGATGCTGATGATGATGGGGGTTATGTTGACCCCGCTGATGTTGCGAAGCCGATGTTAATGATGATGCTGAAGCTGATGATGATGTTGTTGATTGCTACAGGGGGGTATCCAACATGGCTGTCCCGATCTGGGACCGCCCAAGCGGTATAAGGGGGTATCTAGCTTGGCGTCGGGCCCAACGCCGAATCATCAGGAAACGCACGGGGGGCCGAAAAGCGCTTCGAGGGTCTTGTCAGGGAAGGCAGTGCGAAGATGTCGCAAGCGGGAGCGCGAATCTAGCAGACTCAGGCCACCCAGGGGAGTATTTGATGTCAGCGTCCCGAGCTAGGACAACATTTTTTCACGTGTCCAGGCCAACAGTGGGGATACCTAACATGGTGGTCCCGAGCTGGAACCACGTGTTTTCACGTGCCCAGGCCACTCAGGCAGATATCTGACATGTTGGCCCCGAGCTGGAACCATGTGTTTTTACTTGTGCGGGCCACCCAGAGTTATCTA